AAGGGTCATGTGTTAACATTTTTTCTATTAAATCCATTGCTATAAATTTTTTTTATAAATTTATTAAGTAAATAACTTTTAATATTTAACTGTTAATCATATGAAATTTTTCTTTTTACCAGAGTCTGATATTTCTGACCAATATTCTTCTTCAAAATCATATTCGCCCGACATAATAGATTCAAACAATTCAGCTTGATTTTCGCCCCAGAATGGTGTATAACCACATAACATTACATAAAGTATCACACCTATACTCCAAACATCAACAGGTTTATTATGTCCAACTTGTAACAAAACTTCTGGTGCGACATAACTATTAAAAATAATAATTTAAGAACTTATAAGTTAGAAGAGATTGAAGAGATTGCAAAATTTTTTTTTTTTGGAGATAAAATTTTTTTTGGATAAATTACTCGGGTGTTCCACACGCAGTAAACAATACATCTTCTGTACTTGTTAGAATTTTCGATAAACCAAAGTCTGTTATCAGAATATCAGCATCTTCTGATGTATCTTTAAATAATAAATTTTCGGGCTTTAAATCTCTGTGAACTATATCCAAATCGTGTAAATATTGAACACCTTCAAGTAATTGTTTCATCAGATTTGCAGCATCTTCTTCAGTATATGAACCTTTGAGTAATAATTGATTAAACAATTCTCCACCAGATGCCAAGTCTGTTATGATAAACACTCCATCCTTAGTCTCGTATAAATCGTGTAAAGATGTTATATATTTATGATGAACTTTTTTTAGTATGTCAAGTTCAATAGGAAGCATTTTTTCCTTTCCTAATATATTAAAATAATTTATTAATTATTTATTTATTTCCAACTTCTAATAAACAAAATTAAATTGATACTAACCTTTTATCGATTCCTTCAAGATTATTTTTAATGCGTAATTTTTATTGGATCGTTTTTCTGTACATTCTTTTACAACAGCAAAAGAACCTTTACCGAGTATTTTATCTGATACTATGTATTTGTTTTCTAATTCACGAGGAAACCGGATCTCTCCATCAGCGTGCTTTTTAAAAAATAAATCAAACATTTTGTGCATTTTCTCTTTAAATTCAAATAATAAAATGTGAATTAAAATTATTTATTGTGCAAAAATGACGGATTTAAAAATTATTTTATTGTGCAAAAGTAGTGAATTACAAGTAATTTTATTATAATTGTATTATAATTGTATTATAGATTATTATAATTTCAATTTAGTTTTTTTTTTTTTTTTTTTTTTTGGAAAAATTATTTTTTTTGGAGTTTGGAAATTTATTTGTTGTATTTATATACAACATCAAAGGATTGTGGTGCATGCGTAAATATTTTGGAAAATTCTCATTGTAAAATGGAGTACGACAGATAATTAACCACAACGTTCTATTTTAAGTAAAAATTTTAATTCATCATATTTCCGGTTAGTACAATTCGAGACATAG